ATGGATAACCTGACTGCGCTCTCCCAGGAGATGTGGCGTCAAGGTGAAGTCCCGCAAGATTTCAAGGACGCAACAATCGTGCACCTCTACAAGCGAAAAGGAAACCGCCAAGTCTGCGACAATCACCGCGGCACCTCCTTGCTGAACATCGCCGAGAATATATTCGCTCGCGTCCTTCTCAACCGTCTCAATAACCATCTCGATCAGGGCCTTCTGCCGGAAAGCCAATGCGGCATCCTTCGTCATCGTGGGACCACGGGTATGATCTTCGAAGCCCGTCAACTTCAGAAGAAGTGTCAGGAGATGCGGACCCACCTGTACTCTAGCTTCGTGGACCTGACGAAAGCCTACAACACGGTAAATCGTGAAGAACTGTGGAAGCTCATGCAGAAATTCGGCTGTCCGGAGCGACCCACTCAGATGGTGCGTCAGCTGCACGACGGTATGATGGCGCGATTCACGGACAACGGAGCTACTTCAGAGGCATTTGCGGTGACCAACGGAGTGAAGCAGGGATGCGTGCTGGCGCCGACCCTCTTCAGTCTTATGTTCTCTGCCATGCCCATTATGGACGCCTACCGCGACGAGCGCCCAGGGATCCGCATCGCCTACAGGACGGTCGCCTCCAAAACACAGTTTGGAATCGTCACGGTCTTCAACTGAGCACGAAGCTAAAGATGTACAAGGCCGTCATCCTGCCCACACTACTGTATGGAGCGGAGACTTGGACGGTGTAGGCAAAGCAGGCACGCCGACTAAACCATTTCCACCTTAGCTGTCTCCGTCGCATCCTGAGGCTGAACTGGCAGGATCGCATCCCCAACACTGATGTGCTATAACGAACGGGAATCCTCAGCCTCTACTCCATGCTGAGACAAATGCAGCTGCGTTGGAGCGGCCACCTGGTGCGCATGGACGACGAGTGACTACCCAAACAACTCTTCTACGGAGACGTCGCGACGGGTTCTCGCCGTCAGGGAGGCCAGATTTGCCGTTACAAGGATACCCTAAAGTCCTCTTTGAAGCGTCTGCAAGTCAACACGGCCACCTGGGAGGAGCTCGCACTCGATCGACCGACCTGGTGGAGGACAGTGAAGACAGGCGCTGCCATCTACGAAGCCAATCGCATTGCTGCCGCCAAGGCGAAACGCGAAGCCCGCAAATCACAACTTCGCCCAGTACGCAACGCCGCCACACAACCGCTTCCAACGTGTCCTCGATGTCAACGGACATTCTGGGCTCGAATCGGACTTGTTGGACACCTTCGGATCAACTGCGCCTCTCGAACTGCACCACCCATCGTCCCTCCGCCCGCCTCTTCCTCCCCTCCGCCGCCAACTAACTCTGACAATTCTTCTGAACCATCATTTCCATCCTCCTCCTCCAACTCCACCTCGCCCACTGCTCCAACGACGGCCGCTCAGGCGACTGCCACGCGCGCAACAACCGACACCACCGACAGTTCGTCCGTCGATTTCGATGATGACCACCGTGTGCCCCACAGACTGCATTGTGGGAGCAGGGACGGTGACTTGCGCAGGGGTTTATAGTGCGAGTAGACCTGCGCTGCATCTACCTACACTCTCTCCTCCTCCCCCGCCTGAGCCCGGTGTCAAGACAGAGTCAAGAAGACCGGAGACGAGGGAGGCCGCAGGTGGATGGCTCGGACGGATCCTCGTCTTGGCGCTCCACTCCGCACCCCCTGGTCCACACACAAATGACCAGGATTTTGACCACAAAATAATGGGGTGGCGGCAATGGTCCAGTTGAGCGACGAATGCCGACAACAGGGTCCGCCAGCGCACCCCGCAAATGTTGGCATTTGTTATTGCGCACAGATAACGCCTGCCAGAGTCCGACGTGGCCCCCGTGTTGGTCCAGCGCATCTAACACGTGGCCCGTTCTGAGGGCACAACCGACACCACCACCACCACCACCACCACCACCACCACCACCACCACCACCACCACCACCACCTCCCCCGAATCCAGCGATGAGGATCAGGACTACACCTGCTCTTACTGCGACCGCACCTTCACCTCACACATCGGCCTGGTCGGTCACTTGCGAATCCATCGCACAGAGACTGGCGAACCAGTACCTGGAGCACCAATCTACACCCACCGCACTCGCCTCCACTGCCCACACTGCCCTAGCACCTTCACGCATCGCATGTGCCTATTCGGCCACATGCGCATTCACGAGAACGGAACAAACCGCAGAATCGACTCATCCATCATGCCAAACCCAACCCC